CCATTGACGGCCAATCAGAGCACACTCTTCGCATGTGCAGGTCGCAGAACGAAGCTTCTCAACACGTCTGGGCTAATTTCTGACACAGCACAGACTTCGGTGCCTTTGGCGTACGCCGAAGATCATGATCGCCTGTTCGATTTTCTATCTTTCTGTCTGTCTGTCTGTCTGTCCGTCCCCTCTCTCTCTCGCTCTCTCTCTCTCTCTCTCTGTTAGCAGAAGAAGAGATGCAGCGACAAACAAGCGTCTAGTATCACTGCCAGAGCGACATCACGAGACCCGGGAGGGCCACGGTCCAGAAGTGTCGTGTCATCAGAGCGGCATCTCAAGAAAGACTTGTGAGGCTCCAGAGATCCTGGAAACTGGATTCTATGTGGAGTCTCCTGCTGAAGCTATGGCTGAGGCCGTGCGGATACCACGACATGTGCACGAAGCCGTACTGATGCTGCGTACTTCGCTTTACTTGTAGCAGCGAGGGCGGCGGAGATGTCTGTCGAGCATGTCATGGATGAACTGCTCCAGGTGAACATCACGGCAGAGAACGCAAAAGGTGATCCCCTGGCACAAGGAACAGATTATGAGGTCAAGTCCTCAAGTACAGTTCGCCCGTGTTCGGAGAAATGATTGCGAAGCGCTTTTCCGACGATTGCCAACTGGACGCATTTGCACGTGTTTCTAGGTGTACTGCTATGCGGAGGCCCTTGTGATTGCATAGCGCGGCTGCAGCAAGAAAAGACACGTGGCAATGTGAAAGGACGTCCCCTGCCTGCGCTGTTCGGCGGCAGCCGGATCATCCGTCGAGGACGCCACACGGCCAGCTTGGACGGTGTCGTCCATGTTCGATGAAACAGGAGATCAGGAAGACGAAAGCCGGCATCAGAACTCTTGATGCTGACGCCCTCAGCATTGTGCTGCAGAACGTGCAGGGTTTCCCAAAACGCAAGCGCAGCGTAAGGTTCTACCACCTCGGGTCACAGTCCTGTTTGCGGAAGCATTGAGCAAGGACACCATCCAGCCTGGACCCCAGGAACGTCTCTCGTTTTTCGCTGTGCCGTGGTATGCGTGGCATGGTCTGAGTATGATGTCTTTTGTAGCGATGCGCCGATAGCTTCAGCTGGAGATGGTTTCAGACATGGGATGAGCCCCTAGAGACAGCTGTCAGTTCTCGTAGCGAATCGCTGGTCGACGTCGGACATTATGGCAAGAGAATGTCCACGGCCCTGGAAGTTCGTGTTAGATCCGTGGAGTTAGAGAATGTTAGAATTAAGGCTTGGATGCTGGAGCAGTGCATGTCGTTCCCACACAGGTTGACCCTGCAAGTGGACGAGGGAGCCAAGCTGTGGTGCGCGGTGCGGGTCTTGTTTCCGTGGCCGTGCCGGCATACGAGTTGGGCGCACAGAGATTCGGTTTCACCCGTTGTTGTTGAGGCTTGGGATTCCGAACCTGCAGGCGGCTTTCTTTTCTGGTTCTGGTGTTTGGGAGCATTTCCGAGAGCTACCATATGTGCCCGTGAGTGCAGGTGTGAGCACAGGTTTCGAAGAGCTGATCAAGGGCGCGAACTGCACTGAAAGCCATCCGCCGCAGCGTCCGTGTGGCAGCTTCTGGATCTACGACCTCGATGATGTGGAGGCCTCTTTGCCATGAGTGATTTCCAACCGAGCTCGTGGATGCCAGGACACTCCCTTGGATGGCGTGTCAACTGTCCAGGACCTTGCGGCATCATACCAGTACACCCGCGACGCACCCCGGGGGCAAGTCGAAGGGCACACGGCGAAAGTGTCAAGTTGCTGTGTTTCAGGTACAGCTAACTATCTTTGGCCTGACCGAAGCGACGGTGTATGATTACATTTACTGCTTCGCTGAAGATGACGAAGTTGATGGTTTCCTGGCTGAGTCACATTGGCGTTCTAAAGAGCGCGTGAAAGCTGCTAAGGCCTCGGGTCGGCACCGAACAAGATGTATTACGACACAAGCGATGCTCCAGCGGGAACGGAGTCCAGCAGACTCGTCAGTTCCGTGAAAGCCGCAGTCGGATCCATTGTGAGCTTGGACGAGTCACCTGCGACATTCACGCAGCTCGAAGTTCTGGATCCTACCGTACAGCCCTCAGCAGCTTTTTGTGCAGTGTGGAGGCTGCCTGCAACCGCTGAGCTTGCAAGGCTGAGGAGGGTCTCATCGCAGTGAGCCTTGCTCTAAACGAGCCCGGGACGGCATACTGCCGCGTGACAAGGCCATGAGAGTGATGCGGGCTTTGGCAGGTGTTCAGACCATAACTTGTACTTTTTTGCCTGGCGAGAAGCACTTGAGGTCTGATTCGGGAGAAGTCGGCTCAGACATGCATGTGAATCGGATCCTTGCTGCTGGTTGGTCCGCTGTTCACGCTGGACCACCTGCAGATGCCGTGACCATTAATATCACCGCACTGGACAGCGCTGTGCCTTTGGATGTTCCTTCTGTCCCCGTGGAAGCGGCAACCCAGTACGACGTCTACTGCTGGGCCCAGGTCCATTTGTTGTTGGTGCGTTGTTCGTCTTACAGCAAGATAGGAAACGGCCCGATGCAGGACAATGCCGTGAGCACCCTGGGCTTCGCGCGTCCGAACTACATGACGCAGCAGTATGCCACTTCTCCTGTCGTTTCTCCCTCATCACCTTCAGGGGGAGCGACGGCTGGTGTTTGGGTCACGGACAAGACGCCGCCTACTATCATCTATGTCTCCTCCGAAGCTGTCTCCAGCGACACGGTGCAAGTCACTCTGCAGCTGGATGAGCCTGGAACGATCTGGTGTCTTGAATGGATTTTAGCTGGGCGCTGCCGGGGTCAGACGAGCTGCAGGTGTTTTGAGGCTTCAATCTCGCGAGGTGTGCAGCTGCTGAGCCAGACTCCTCCGCGAACACTCAGAGCTGCAGGGAAGGTGAGCTGCAGGCGCAGGGAGCAAAGAACGGGTTGTGCCTGCGATTTTGGGCTCGCGCTTGATGCTGAAAGGACTCGGAACCTGATCCAAGCATCCAGCCATGCTACTTCGAGACCTTTGCCAAAGGGACCTATGCCGACGGAACTGTTTTCAAGGCTGAAGTCTCGCAGCCGTTCAGGGATGTGGACATCGAGATCAGCAGGACCTCCCAAGCTTGCTTCCACCTCACAGCCTCACAGCCAGGATTTCTGTGAGACCAGGCCATATCGTTTCTTGTGTCGATGGGAGGATTTGGGAGCGCAACGGCACCAGCACAAGCAAGTTGCAGCCCTTCGCTCAGGAATCGGTGACTTAGGCTCACTACAACTCCTCGCTGCCTGAGGCCGGAGACTCCCTACAAGATCTTCTGCTTTGCCGAAGACGATTGGGTGGGCAGTCGACTTCTCTGCGCTGTCGGCTGTGGCATGTGCGGCTCGTTCCTTGTGCAGGTTGTGCAAAGTACAGCCGGCGCGGTCAGTCCGAACTTTGTGGCACCGACGAGCCCCAACAAGTCGTCCGCAGCCTTGCAACTGCTTTCGTTTCAGATCCTTGCAGCAAGTCTCATGAGTTCGTTTGCCTTTCCCAGGCCCTTGTCGCAGGGCCAGTCTCTCCTGACTGCCATCGGGACCAGGACACGTCTGGACATAAGCCGCTGTGCAGTGCTTTGGCCGCTGCAGCTCAACAGCTCCAGGACGACCTTGGATGAGAGCCCTCCACGCTTTACCAAGCTGCTCATACAGACTCTTGGCAGGGCATGCGGCCGAGCTGCATTCTGCCGTTGATTGCAGTCGCTCTTAGGAACCCAACGCAGACCAACGATCGCATTGTTGTTGTCTTTGCGCTGAACGAGCCTGGCACGGCATACTGTAGTTGACCTAGCTTCTGTTTGCATGCGGACCTGAATAGGTGGTTTCAAGTCTTTTTCGATGCTGAGGTCGAGCGAGACGTGTCGACTCCGCCGCGGCTACAACATCAATGAAGATACCTGACATCCTTGCTGCCGGCTGGTCTGCAAGCTTCTCAGGGCCCGATGCAACCATCGAAATGACGAAGACATCTATGCCGCGTGCTTGGTGAATAGAGCCGTTCCACTGTGCTGAAGCTCCGCCATCGCAAGCGGCGAGAGCGAAACACGAAACATGTTTTGCCCTAGTTATTAGTTCTGAGGCCACATCCTGGTGTTGGGGCTCTGGACGCGTCGACGGCCGACTTCGACGAGCAGACCCAGTATGACGTCTTCTGCTGGGCCTGTACCCAAGCACAAACGTGTTTCCGCGGCGGATGACTGAATGTTCCCCTGAGGCCCACGACGATGCTGTCGATGGCAGGGGATACGCAAGACCCAACCAGCAGACTGAAGAGTATGTCCCGACCGCAGTGTCTGGAATAGATGACGGGCTTTGGCTGCCAGGGCGCTCGCTGACGACACTCGCTCAGGTGAACACGGAAGTGGGCCAGGGCGAAGTCGTGAACGCAACGCTCGAAGGTGGCAAGACACCAGGAGATGAGCATTGAAAGCTGTATACACTCTGCTGCCTCACCTTTCGAAGAGATTCCAAAGCAGCCGTGGACAGGAGTTTGGGTGGCAGACACTACACCTCCCACCATGTTGCTCGTACAGGCAGAAGCACTCTGCCTGCGGCTCAGCATCGGCGCACAAATCACGATTTACCTGTGGAGATGCAGGAAGGCAAGGAAACGAGAGAGAGGGGGTGCCACCTTCTTGCCGGAAATTTGCATGGAGGTTGCCGGTGGCCAGGGCAAGGGTAGACACCTCTCCCAACAGGAGAAGGGAGAGATACTGAGGAGAGAGGCAGAAGGACACCCGTAACAGATGGGTGCACGCACCAGGAGCGGGTCGGAGCCCGCCTCTTAACTAGGGAAAAGCAGAGCCGAGAGAGAGCGAGAGCCGCGGCCAAAGGTGATGGCAAGAGGACTGGAGCCGAGGTAAGCAACAGGAGTTGTGTACAGGATTAAGCATTGCCCCCTGGTGGGTGAGAGTCACGCTATGTTGGATTCAGAGTCTGATAGGCATCCGATGGGGTGGGTGGGTGTGCCGGGGTGTTCATCCCTCCGAAAGCAAAGGTCGTGCAGGCACCAATACCCGCACTTCCTGATTTTTGCAGCTGCAGGGCCAGGGAACTTTTAGCTAGATGGACGTCCATGAATGACTCGAGGACCATGGACAAGAGTCAGAAAGCGAGTTATGAGCAAGGGGGGGTTGGTGTCAGAGCAGCTCCCGGAGCTGCCGCGACATGCAAATGTCAACGTTAACATCTACACGAAGCCGGCTCAAGTTCCGGCTCTTTCCCCCGGGAAGGTTTGTAAGCGGAAGGATGGCAAGCAGACCACTCTCGGGGTTGCAGACAGTTCCCGTTTGATTTTAAACACGCTTCGTCCGGGCCGGCCGCAGGTGAAGGGTAGTTACGCACGGCCTGCAGAGATACAAAAGGCGCGGAGAAGCAAGACAGCGAAGGGCGGCTGGGGTGGGTGGTGGGCTGTGGCAACCTCTGAAAGCTTCGGCTGGAGCTTACCTGTTCGACCATGTGGAATGTGTTTTTCATTTTGAAGAGTATGAAGCGGTGTACAAGCCGTGTGCGGCCCCTTCAGTGCAATGTCGTGAGAATGCCAGGGAGTGCCACTCTTCAGGTGCGGGGAGCTTTGCAGCTTTTGTAGTCTTGGATTCGTAGATCGATGTCTTGCATCGGTCTGGCTGCCTCCGCCCTTTGCTGGAATAGCAGGTACGGCTCCAGTTGAACGAGCCCGGCACCGTTTGGCATCGTGCTCATCTCCGCAACATTGGGTATAGTCGTTGGGCTCGTTTGGCCAATCCGAGGTGTGCTGCCGCAGGCAAGGGCTCTCCGGCAAGCTATTGCTTGGCCAGCGAGCTGCAGTCAGCATCATCTTCTGCTGATTGCTTCTTCGAGGACTGGTTCAGCATGTGAGCATAGTTTTGTGTTGCTGAGTTGAACTCGATCGAGAGCATGGTGAGACAGAGGATTACATCAAAGGAAACGCCTCTGATGGTACATCCTTTAGTGAGTACGTTTCCGAGGCCGGAGAAGCCGTCGTAAATAGAGCGCAGCAGAAATGCTCCAACATGCAGGCCTTCCAGGACGTGGAAGTGGAAATCACGAGGATTCTACGAAAAGATATGACAGCTGGATCACCGCTTCTGCCGCAGACGACCTATCAGATCTTCTGCTTCGCAGAAGACGACTGGAAAGAACAGGCTGCCACCAAGAGAGAAAGAGAAAGGGAGAGGGAGAGGGAAAGAGGGGGAAAGAGTGTAGTAGTGTAGTTAAGCCGGCGAAGCCTTCGTTCCCGAGGCGGACAGTGTCAACTCTTCTGCCGAGTACGTGTCGCCAACAGGCTGCCTTGGCTGCAAGTGCTGCTTGTTCATTTGACATCACTTGGTCAACCCATGCGCTGCGACTAGGTCTTAAGAGCCTCACGTCCTGGCGGCAAGAAACTGACATGCCGAAAACCTGAGGCTCACCAGCTACAACCTTCGTCACAGTGCAGACTTTTTCGGACAGCATCGGTGAACTCGCAACGCTGGATGAGGCCCTCGGTCATATGCGGTTTGCTTGTAAGAACATCGGGAGGCGGCTGTGCAGCCAGGTCTCTGGCTAGGCTAGTCCGTCTCCCGCTGGCAGGCAGCTCCCAGCTTCACCTTGCTGGAAATCCAAGATCCCAGCGCTGAAGAAGGCACTGCGGTGTGGCTGCGAGATGTGCGAAGCATGTCGGGGAACTGCACGATGCACGGAAAGCTGAGCGAGATTGAACGAGACGCTCAGACGTCGTTGCTGGAGATTCCCTGTTTGCCATGTTCTGCCGGGCATGCTCAGGTCCACACTGTGCAGGTCTCCAATAAAAATCCTTTCCCAAGAGCTTTCCCGACAATTCCGAGCGACAAATCTCCGTCTGCCCGATGCATCGCTATCCTAAATCCAATCCAATTTCAATACTGAGATGATGTTTGATTAAATGTGGCATTCCCGAATGCAGGAGTCCTGGTCGTAAACTTCGCTCTAAACGAGGCTCCTGCGTGGTAGCATGAAGACAACGTAGCCAGTCACTGTGGATGACTCTCGCGCAGTCCCAGGCAGGAACAGCGTACTGCAGGGCGACCCGCTCGGACTCGGGCGAGTCTGCTGAGGACATGCCGATCAACAGGCGAGCCGATCACAACAGCCAAATGTTTTCTTGTCGCACTCCTGCCCATCAGGGTTCTGACGGCCAACTGGGTGGGTGAGTACGACGGCAGCAGCAACATCACCATTGTCATGAACAACTTAGAGAACGTTGATCCCTCTGCCACAAAGCGCGACGACGAAGTCGCATCTTTGATGGCTGGAACGCAGTACGATGTGTACTGCTGGGCCAAGGACTGGGCTCAAGTGGCAGGTTAAGCGTGTCTTGTGTGTGTGTGTGCTCGTGTAGTCTGCTTTATCGTCAGGACAAAGCCACAAACACCTTTGGATACCCGCGACCGAATTTCATGGCAGCAAGCTATGTGGCAAGTCCAGTTCTGTCTGCCACTGCCCCAGCTGGAGGCTACACAAGGGGTGTTTGGGTTACAGATAGCACGCCGCCCACAATGTTCTTCTCAGCCTTCGATGCTCTGTCGGAGGACAGACGGGTCTGCCGACTGTCTGCTTTGTCCAGTGAACTCGAGAGCCCCCAAGTAGGCCTGGGACTCTTCTGCACAGGAGTCTCTTCTCGTGCAGCTTCAACTCAGCGAGCCTGGTACGGTCTGGATCACACAAATTTCCATGAGATGCCGTGCGTAGGTGTCTGATGCCGAGGTCTGGTGTGCGGCAACGATGCCCAACGGTGGCTCTTCCAGCTATTGTCGACCGAACGACCTCCAGGACAGCGATGCTTTGGCTGCCTGCTACTACGAGGATTACATCAAAGGCCGGGTCCACCGGGGCAAGAGCAAGTCGTTCTTTTCGTCTTGTTGACCAGGTTCAGCGGGGCAGGGCACGGTGTTCATGAAGGAGGTCTCCGATCCATACACAGATGTCTGGGCCTCAGCCGTGTTGCAGCTGAGCGATCACGGTGATCGCCCGATCGCTCGTCGTAAGGTCTCAGTGGAGATCGATCGCATAGCACTTTCTGGCATTGGCGGAGCTGGATTAGGGGCACCATTGCCTGCAGAGCACCGGCCTCATTGCTGGTCTGCACTCTGAACGACATGGTTCCTGGATCCTGTCAGGACACAGTTTTCTGTGCTGTGCTTTGCGCAAGACTCGTGGGACTTGCGCAGCCAGGACGCTTTTTCACAGGGTTCTGCTGGCTCGGCTTCATCACCTCAGCCTGCAATGACTACCTTATACGATGCATAAAAGCGTGCAGTTTGCAAAAAGAAGAAAGAGAAGTCGTCTTCCCTGTCGCGGCGACCTTGGTGGCCAGGCCACGGGTCCCCGAACTTCGTGGCACCAGGCGGACCCAACAAGGTCACAATGGCGCAGGCGACGAGGGGCCGCTGCTTCCATGTTGCCTCCTTCGCGCAGAAGAGAAGAAGAGAAGTGGGCCGATTTTCTGCATGCTTTTTGGGAGGTTCTCGCCTTCGTCACTGCAGCAGAGAGCCTCGGAGCTGTGGCCACCACGTTGGACCTCACAGCGCCCATGGCCCGGAAAAAAAGAAAGCGCAACTCTTTAGAGACTTCTGCACGCGCCCGGGCCTGCCTTGAGGCCAAGCACGACCAGCTGGGCCCTCCACGCGCCTCCCGACTCCGAGTCCAGTTTGGAGATCCTCTTCGGAGTGGACGAGGCCCGGGGTCACGGTACCGTTCTGGGCTCACAGAGTTTCACCCTGATATGACTGTGGTGTTGCTGCTGGGGTTGTGGTTGTTCTGGTGGCTGTTGATGTTGCTGTTGCCGCTGCTGTTGCTCTTGCTGCTGCTGCTGCTGCTGCTGCTGCTGTTGTCTTGCTTGCTTGCTTGCTTGCTTGCTTCCTTGCCTTGCCTGCCTGCCTGCCTGCCTGCTTGCTTGCTTGCTTGCTTGCTTGCTGGTTGTTGTTGTTGTTGATGATGATGATGATGATGATAGCTTTGATCATGTTGGTGTTTCTTGTGTCTGAATCCTCAGCATTCCGTCTTCGCGTTCTTTCTAGGCAGCGCGGCTGAGACGGCATGAACGGGATGATGAATGACACAGCAGTAGAGTGATGTGATTGATCTCATGCCAATGTAAGATCTGAGCATGTCGGAGTTTCCTGGATTGGCTCGATGTTCGGTGGCACATCCTTGCTGTGAGGCGGCAACGCTTTTCTGCCTACCTCTCCTCACAGGCGCAGATGGCAGCGCGGATTCTGCATTTCTGCAGTGGGATCCCGGCTAGCTTGAAGCCCCCCGAAATTAAGCAAAGTACAGCGAAAAGAAGTTGATTGTGCTTTTCGTGCGTTTAGCACTTTTTGAGCTTTTGGCTTTTCGTACTCTGCTGCTGTGCTGTGTGGCTGTCTTTCGTGATATCTTTCGGCCTCCTGCTGGTGCGCTTCCTCTTCCTCCTTCTGCTACTATACGACTTAGTTATGAACGGGCTTCATCAGTCCGGCGGTGTTTGCCTGTGCCCCTTCGGTCCAGTGCTACGTGCGCCATCAAGCCAGCCTTTGAAGAGTCCAACCGCGTGCCCCGCTAGTCAATGCACGCGGACAGTCCAGCAACAACACTGGCGCGCCCCTTTGGTCTGTGCACGAACCGCACGATAGATAGCCAAACCAGGTTGCCTGCATCGGGATGAAACCCCAAGAGTAGAAGCTGAGAGGCACGGAGACACCTCACATCAGCACTATCACTGCAGAGGGACAGTCTGCCAACTGCCCGGCACCAAGTTGTGACGTGCGCCGGTAGACGAAGGTGGAAGTCAAAGCTTTGGAAGGCCGTTCCAGTGGAGTGAAATCCTCTGCGCTAATTAACGGCTAACAAGCACATGGTTGTTTCTTCGGGGATTTATCCCACGCTGGTTAGCTTAGCTTCAGGTTCTGCTGCCTCCTTTGACGCTGGCGACTGTCTCGGGCTCAGTCCGTGTGCACTCCATGTACATGCGCGGCTTAAACAGAAGGCCTGTCGGCCCGTCATACCTGCGACCAGGTTCCAGCTTGACAATGGCGCTGCCCGGGCTGTTGCGTGGCACGGGCTATGATGTGCATTGCCAGCTCGAGGAGCAGAGCAGGGCATCGGCGGTTTCAATCAGCTCCGCTGCTACGCAGAAGACCGTGTCTGAGTCTGGTTGCAGCTTCAATCTCATCGCATATGCAGGACGACAACATGCACCCCTTGCCTTGCACTGAGTGGTGTGATGCTCCGGGGGCATATTATGAATGTCAGAGCAGCTGCATGCGAGGCTTCCGAACCGTCGAGTTCTGCCTGTCCTTTCCGCCAGCGTCAACGACTTCACGCCTCCACAGATAAGCGTGGTTCGAGCCAGTGGCTCTGAGCCTGGGCTCATTGTCGTGTCTGGATCTCAGACGAGCGACCACGGAGAGTCTGAGAGGATCTCTGTCATGCACCAGGACATTACAGCTTGATGAGCCAGGTGCAGAACATTCCTGTGTTCGAGTGATTCTAGGGGTTTTCTGCAGCGGCCAGGTACGGTTTGGTGCTTCAGCCCATCAACTGTGGGACAGGCCATTTCGCCAGGATGGGCGCCCCGGAACACAAAAGAGGGAGGGGTAACGCTTCCCCTCAAGCAGGGGCACTTGGCCAATGGCCAAGCGCCAAAACTGTTAGCGTGACTCAGGTGCTTGCCCACGGCTGGCGCTCGGAGACAGCTGCCGATGCAAACACGGATGTGGAGGTGGGACCGTAGGAGATTCTGAGATGTGGGAGACGATTTCACTCGGCGGGGTCCAAGAGAAAGCCTAGGTCACGGTGTCACGCCGTGGCACCACAGAACTGCAGCTGGTCTCAGCCTGCCGGCAGCAGCATTTCAAAGAGAGCCAATGGGCATGAGTTGCATATTTAGCGAAGCGCAGCCTGCGCCAGGAAACCGCATATGAGACCTATTGCGCTGCCCAAGACACAGCCACCAATCCCAGCTGCACGGATCCTGGCTGCCCAGCGGTTCCCAACCTGAACACGCCACACGCTCAGCTACGGAGGCTGAGAGAGGCATGGGAAAGAAGCTTGAGAGATGTGGGGATCTGCAGTCAGCTTCTGTGTGGCATCGGTTCCCCTAAACCAGCCCCGATAGACGGGGCGCCCCTACGGATGGAGGGCAGTGAGATGCCAATGAAGCCCTAGAGTCCTAGAGAAAGAAAGAGCCGTGGGAAAGAAGCAGAGGAAGAGTGAGAAAGAGGTTGACTCAACAAGCGGAGCGCCCTGCTACAGCAACTTCCCGAGGCTTGCAGAGATGCAGCTTGTACGTGATGCAGTGGGGCAGATCATCACACGCGATGTGGACCCGCCCACCTTCTCACTTCTTGGAGTCCAGCCCCCAAGATGCGCAAATCGTCCCTTGTACTGTCGAAAATTTTCAGCTTCTTCCCGAGGCCAGGGGTGTTGGCGAGGACATGCTCTCGGTCACCCTGCAGTTGAACGAGCCCGGCACAGCCTACTGTGCTGTGCTCAGACTCACCGTCGGCTGTGTGCTTCGCCGAGCGCTTCACCTCGATTCCCCTTTCAGCCGATGTAGCATTGCAATCTGAAGGCCGCGCTACTCGCACCGACGCAGCATCTGCAGCATTGCACATTTCTCATATAGTGCAAGCGGGATTCTTTGCCACCAATGATGTCTTGAGCTGAGCACTTGTGGCGGGTTGACTGCAGGTGTAAGGCCTTGCAAGCTTTTGTTGCTTTAAGGCGATGGCATCTTCAGTTATCAATATCGACAAGTTGGCCGATCGCGCGACAGAAGCTCCTTTGACGCGTGCAACCGCGTATGACATCTTCTGCTGGGCCAAGGCACAGAAACTTCGTTGTAAGTTGTAGAAAGTGCTAAGTACGCTTTGTGGGGAACGAAGTACCTGTGAAGGATTCGGCGCAGCTGCACTCCTGTCGGCCTCAGGGGACCAGTGCTGTTTGTAGCTTTGAGGCAGCGCCCCCAGCAACTTGCAGCTTTCACACATTGAAGCATGTGGTGAAAGGGATGCCCCAGAAGGGCGGCCCATTGCCGGAAGTTTTTAAGAGGATGAACTGAGGGGGGGTGTGGAGCGTCAGCGAGAGGGGTTCGGGGTGTGGGTTTTGGGCAGTTCGGGGAAATCGCCCGGCGGCCAAAGAGGAGGCCCCCAAAGACCAGAGCTGGAAGCGCGATGCGATGCGGGTGATGCGCCTCCTCCGACGTCTTGAGCCTCAAGGAGATCTGACCCTGCTATGCTGATGATTGTCATAGAAATGGCGGTGAGGGTGATGACGCAGCCCTCTTTGCGGTTGCTACATTTTAAGTTTGCACAAGGTGACCATGTGGCAATAAGCTCATCACCGAAACGGGTGCTGGTGCGTGTGTTCACCAAACCCTCCCGAGACAGGTTGAATAATGTGCACATGTGCTGTTTCCTTATTTAAGCTCGTGCTGCGCAAGCTTCGTCAACAACTTGAATGTCATCGGATAGAAACCCTCCATTTCGGTGTTAAGAAATATCTTGTTTCCGCACAGCGGGTAATGTTCCGAAATCAAGTTCAATCATCGGGAGCCCGATACTTGCTGTGAAGATGGGGAATGCCGTCAATCTGGGGAGATTTCAACTCTCGGAAAGCTGCTGCATACACCAGTTAGGGACCCAAGCACTCCCTGCAGTTGACAGTCGATTTAGATGCAACTAGAGCCTAGATATTTTGACGATCATACAAGTCGTGGCTGGGCCCGACCACGCGGACATGGGTTTGAGTTAGCATAATTTCAGCATGCTATTTTGTATGTGGAATCACAGTCCTCTACGTCCGGCCTCGCTGCGGGCAAGCGAAGTGACATCGCATGCAGCCGTTTATGGCCTCAGCCGTATGATATATTGCAATCGGCAGGAACAGTAGCTCGAGACAGACTTGTCATGCGGTACCCACAAGAGCACGTTGTCCAGTCCACGTATCACAGAGGCCCTTGCGCCTGGGCCCTAGGCCGAGGCCCGACAACGGAACGAATTGCTAAACGGTCTCACACACACGCAAAGACATTTTTCACGAGAAAATCCCACAGACGGCAAAGCCGCGGCAAGTTGCAAAGGCGACACGAATCGCAGGTTCAAAGGACATGTAAGGAAATTGCGACCCCTCTGCGAAATCTCAGTTGACAATCCTCGTGTCGATGCCACCGTTGTTGGTGCTGGTGCTTCTTTTATGTCATTCGGGGGGGGGGGGGGGGGGCNNGGGTGGTGGTGCGGCTTTATGGCCCTCGGAGAGCTGGCTTCAACTTTTGCTGCTTTGTGTCAGTGCACGTTTGCTTTCCCAGGCATCTCCGAATTTCATGGTCGAGAGCTCAGGGGCCAGGCCAAGGCAAAACTGCTCGGTGCTCGGTGTCGGGCATGCCTTTTTGACTTAGGAGCAGAGCTATGTGCAGACTCGATTCTCTCAAGCCGTCCATCCGCCCGATCTGGAAACGGGTGCCAGTGGAGGCCTCATAGATATGGCCGCCGGCTTATGCAGAAGCTTCCGGTCAAGGAGGCTTCCTGAATGTCCCGTGTTCGTTCAAGGTTCGTACCTGGGACACTACGCCGCCTGTGCTAACCTTCGTCTGGGCAGAAGCGCGATCGGAGGACCTCGCAGCTGACATGCGTGCAGACCTGTTTTGCGGGACGAGGCTCTTGATTTCAACAGGGGATACAATTTGTCCAAAGAGTCGCTTGAGGGTCAGTAGACGCCGCATATTTGGCATCGCCCAAGACTCGGCCCAACCTTTCGTTTTCCTGCTTGTGATAGGCCGCCGTCCCAAGAATGCTGCATGTTACCCAAGAAGGATTCGATCACCGCAACCCTTCAACTTGATGAGCCTGGAACTGCGTATTGTCCCAGCCTCGGCTCTGCAGCGCAAGAGTGTCAGAGAGTGTCGATCTGCCTTTGCCCACGCCGAACTTCGCCTCAGGCCGAGCCTACGACGTGGATCCCGGAAACAACGTGACCTTTGCAGACGTCGTGGCTGCGCCGGGCGGACCTTTCAGGTGGGCACAGGGCAAGACTTGCCGTGTCAGAGAGCGACTCTTTAAGCCGCTTCCCCTTTCAGCTTCGATCTTCCGTCGGACTCGCCACTGCGAAGCTTCACGGCCTCGGCGCAAAGAAACTTTGAGATCACCGTGACCGGTCTGTCTCGGGAGGTGGGTGTGTGCCAGGCTTCCATATTGCCTACGCATACATATGATCTGTGAAGGTGCTGTACTTCGTCTACTGCGTGGCAGAGGATGATGAAGCCACAGACGGCTGCTTTCAACGCAATGCCACGGAAAGTCCAGATTGTGGGAACAACGAGGTGAGAGTTGCTCCGTCTACGGATTTAGTAGCCACAGCCTTTTTTTGGCAGGCAGCGCCAATCCTCACCGAACCACTCGGCCGGTGCGAAAGCCCCGCTTTTGGTGTGTGTGTGCCCACCATGCCGCTTTTTTTGGGGGCAGGTATTCCCTGGATCTGACCCCGCCGACTCTTCTTGTGCTGGATGCTGTGTCGTACACGCAGGATCCAGCTTTACTTCACAAGCCCTCGGTTTTCGCATCGCCAAGTTCAACTCTGCTCTGCAGGATTCTGTTCGAGTCACAGCCTCGCTGAATGAGGCAGTAGAGTTCTGTAGACGACTGTACTTCGGGGACTCTGGTACGACACGGCTCCTGCAGGCAGGCACTGTGTGGTGTGCCGCCGTGCTCGACCTGCAGCCTCCACCTGCGACCAATGAAGTCGTGGCTTTCCTGGACATTCCTTGTGCGTGTGTGGTGTCATGTCTCCATCTTGAAGCGAGGTGGCTGCTGGATATCTTGCGAGCATAGGGGCCGTGATTTGCTCAGCCTCTGCAGCCTGACTGGCCTCTGTGAGCTTGTATGGGCAGACACGAGGCTGGAGTTCTGGATGTGACCATACAGAACTTGATGAGGAATCGGAATCAGTGGCCAAAGCTTCTTCCGAGACATGATGCTCTGACCAGGGACACAGAGTATGACGTTTACTGCTTCGTCTGCCACTGAGCCTAGATCGGGAGAGTGGGCAGGCGGTGAGGTGTTTGACACTAGCCTTGAAGGCCCGGGACGACGGCACGATGTCAGCGGCGAACAGTACGCTGGAGGTCAAGCTCTCAAAGAAGAACTCCATCTCGTGCGCTCCACAGCCTGGGTTCTGGTGCAGAACCCTTTTTCCGCTTGCACTGCGGTTTCAGGTACTCAGACATGGTGGCAACCAAAATGGACGCCCACGTCATCTACGATTCGGAGGCACCCCGTCTTCTTGCCGTGCATCCTCCACACAATGCTTTCGGAGCCGTGGCCCCAGTGGGAGACAGGGAGTCCAATTCTGCTCGCGCCGGTTTCCCTTGAGGTCGGTGCTGAGGTCAACATCAGCCTCACATTCAGCGAGGACATTCAGGATCGACCCACCGCCCCTTTTGCGTCTGTGCGTATGGGCGTTTCGGGGAGGCTGGCAACGGGACCATCGAGCTGCTAGCGACCGGTGAAGCTTCTGAGGGAACCTTACTTGTCAACGCAAGTCTGCCGACGCTAGCTTTTCGAGCTCGTGCTTGCATAAGATCTCCTCTTTTTTGAAGGTCGCTCTAGAAGTGGCGGAAGTCTTGATCGTGAACGCAGCCATGATCATAGTGCCTTGGCGGTGCTTTGCAAGACTGGGCCCCAGCTCTCGCTCTCCACGAGAACTCGCCACTTTGTGCTCAGACTGGGTCCATGCACGGTGGCTTGGCCTTGGGGAAGACCTGGCGCCTGCTGGTGCCAAATGGTGCACTCACAGACCGGACAGGCCAGGCGCAGCCCGATAGCCACATGCTATGCTACGGGGCTGGGTGGCAAATCAGCGTTCTTAAATAACGTGTCAACGGCATCTGCTGCACTCGTTTAAGGACGTTGTGACCAAGTCCTCGCCACCGAGTAGCGGCATGTGCAGAGCTGTTAGAGATTCCCCCCTCGCACCGGAAAGGAAGCCTGGTGCTACTAGCGCCCAGAATATGGTTTCGACGACAGCACCTGCTGCCACGCTCCTCCTGCTACCCCTATTCTGGGTTTCGAGTTCAATTCCTAATGCGGGTCCGCCGCCAGTGAGACGAACTGTCCGGCTGTCGAACACAAGCAGAGTGGCGGGGAGCGGAAGGGTTGGGGTGTCACCTGTCCTTGAAGCCAGTGAATGGGTCCAGAGGAAGGGTCGCGGAGACCACTTCAGAGGCTGGGGCACCAAGGGAGGGGATCCCTTGTTGTACGAAACTCTGACCGCTTCGGGCGGGGCCGAGGCGAACATCTTTCGGTTCTCAAGAAACCTTTTGGCCCGAACGTGGCTTGCAAGAGTAGCATGCTTTGCCTTCATTCGAAGCTGATTTTGAGGTTTGACATGTTTTGGGTCTCAACAAGCAGTTTGCCCGAATCTGGGTTCAAACTTAGCATGGGTTGGCTCTCGACAAACCTTTGGCCCGAATCTCGGCTTCAAGTGTAAACACCTAGCCGCATTCCTACATGCCTGCAGACCTCCATCCATGCATGCATCCATCCATCCATGCATTTATCCATTTATCCATCCATCCATCCATCCATCCATCCATCCATCCATCCATCCATGCATGCATCCATAGAATATAGTATAAAGTAGCATGATAGAATAGAACATAATATACTGCAATAGAATATAATATCATATACTAAAATATTATGTATATATATATACACACACACATGCAGGTGTAAGAAGGAACGATGAACACCAACCTCGAACCCCAAACAAGAAAACGGAAGACTGGTGGGCACAGGTAGGAAGTCATAGCCACTCTTTTCTTGGGCGGCCTCAGTGGCGTGATCTGGGTGAGCTTGATTGAACTCAATACAAGGCTGTTCTAGAGCGAGTTATAGCCACAGGCACAAGGGAGTGGGATGACAGGTGCCCGAACAGGACCCTTCGGTCGAAAAGCACACGGAAACGGCAGCCAGCGCATGCGATCTCCGAAGCTGCCCGCTCCCTCAGGCAACGCCTTTGCCGGCGTGACGGATGGCCAGTATGCGTTGCAACCATGAAGCCGTGGACTGAGCCTTGTCTGCTTCTGTCGAGTTCGTCGGTTCTTGCTCCCATTAGCTGCGAGCCTACATGTCCGAGGTGGAATTCTGAGTGTGCCTGAGGCAGATGAGGAAACACGAGGCTCCGCAAGGACAAGGCTGCCAACTTGAACCAGGCGCCTGACATGAAGAAGACAAGCAAGCACCCTGCTATCAGATGTGTCAAGTTCAGTGCATGTTATGGTCCCAGGTAGCTGCTAGCGCGGGCTATTCTTGTTGAGAGGCCATGCAAAAGTTCGAGACCAAAACGAGATCGGTACCATGCTCGGGACGCAGCATGTTCATGCTCTGACCCGGGCTCCAAGTCGAAGTTGCAACCTGCTCAGAAAGCCGGCATAAGCCGGCATCCCCTCTCCTTTTGTTCACCCCTCGTCTTTTGGCCCGGCCCCTGGCTCGCCACTCTGCTCTCTGAGGTCCAGAGCATCCCGGCTTGAGCAGCTTGATGCGGGTGCGGCATGACGCAGGGCTACCCGAAAGTCGCCCCGAGGCCCATGACAGCGAAGTTGCAGAAGGGAGTTCCTGCAAGAGCAGATCTCCACGTGCGACAAGTGTCGTGGCCATGTAGGAAGCTCTTCTGACATCAGAGCCAGAGTGCCTGCATGGAGCGTTGATGCCATGTCAAAGAAGCGGATCTGAGCTGTGACTTCGCATCGCCGAGATCTGCACATGCCAGCTGCACGGCCAGCTGCAGGCAGTGGCTCAAACCTGCTCCAGGCACAGCCCATGCCCGAGATCCCTGGTGCAAGCGCAGACCAGATGAAAGCTCCATGAGTGGTCCGATGGTGAAGTAGCCAGGATGCACGAAATGAGCGAAGAGGCGATTCGCGAAGCCGTGCTCTTGGAGACACTTTCACGGCTTCTTCGCGAAAAGATTGGTGCCGATGGCGCTTCCCCTGTACCTCCTTGGAGAAGACCCCAAGCAGAAGCCGGGGCCCCTTCCGTCACTTCTGCCAACGGCTCAGCAGTACCACCAGAAGAGCCTGCAGCTACACCAGTGACTGCAGCAGACGTCATAGGTGCTACATCAGAGATCAAAAGAGAGGCTCCCTTGGAGAAGTTCATCAGAGTATTTCGGCTTGATGAACTGGCGGCGAAGTGCCTGTTGAAGCTCCAAGACGACGAAGCTGCCTTCGTGATCGAGCTCCGCGACGAAATTGATATGGCAACAGTTAGTTCAGATGCAAAAGTTGTCCGTGTGTCGCTGTCGTAGCTGCCTTCTCTCTCTCTCTCTCTCTCTCTCTCTCTCTCTCTCTTGGCGGGCGCTCGTTCGCTCCTTTTCGCCGTCCCTCTCTCTCTTGCTGGGGAGCCTGCTGAGACGTTGATGTTGAGATGTGACGATGAACACAGCTTTGCTTTGCCATGACAATCTTCGTGGTCGTGCTTCTATCTCGCGCCTCCTCATGGGTTGACATGTCCTCGAATGCTCTGTTCATGTGCACTTTCAATGCCTAATCTTTCGGATCTAGTGCGTTTTGTAAGAACGGCTACTGAAGTATCGTGAGCGACTGGCTCTGGTCGGCTCGCTGATGGGACGCAAGCGTAGGACGGGGTTTTAGCTTGTACAACAGGAAGCTCGATGCAGGGGTCGGCATCGGCCGGCAAGTCGCAGCAGTCGCAGCATTGCACTTTTTCCAGCAAAGCGCTGGTTGCATGAGAGCAGACGCAGTTTGTTTGGATTGCACGGCGGGGCAATTGCAGCGCTGACGAAGCGACTTCCAGAAAGGGCCGTGTCGCCAACAGCATTGTGACGCTGCGCAGCACAGGCCGCTCGGACACAGCCTCCTTTGAGAAACTCCTCCGGGTGTCCTTCTGCTGCACGGACGAAGAGGATGCAACTTCCTGGACGGGGTTTTGGCGCATGTGCCAACGTGCGGCAGGAGGAACGCTTTCCCGCCCGCCACCCCCTTTCTTCAGACTTTGCCGTGGTTCCTGTGTCGGTGTCTCATTCTGTGCACTTCCGGGTATGATACTTAGGATGCTCACTGTGTTCGATTATGGCACGAGGCCTCAGAGCCTTTCCATACAGAGGCTTCAAGCACACGTGGATAAGATCGAAGCTCTTCCGAAGGCCCGAAATTCCTACTTCTCGGTGCGAGTTTAGGCGCCGCAGGAACTGGATGGACGAAGTAGGGCCGATGCTCATGCAAACTCATGGTCCCCAACCCGCCGCCATGCCTGCACCCGCCGTACCAAGCAAATCCAAGCTGCAACGCTAAATGAGACTGTGTCGGTCGGTGGATAAAGGGGATAGCGATGAATTATGCATGGTAAATGACGAGTCGGTACTGACTAGTTGAGGGGTGGTGTGAAGACTGAGCGACGATGATTACCGTGATGTTGGTAAACATGATGATTATTTGATTCGATGATGATGTTGTTGCACTCGCTGTTGCTGCTGATGTTGTTGATGATGAACTTGTTGTCGGCGATGGCGAGGCGGTGGCGACAGAGGTGGCGATGGAGGTGCCGATGACGATGATGATAATGACGACGACGATTTATGATGGTGGTGCTGCTTTAACGCTGTTGATGATGCTGCTGATGGTGATGATGACGACGGTAAGGGCGGTTGCTTGGTTGTGATGGTCTTGGTGATCGTGCTCACGGCGATGATGGTGACGATGGCGATGGCGACGACTATGAGGATGATGACGATGCTGATGACAGTGATGATGATGGAGACGGAAGGATCATGACGAGCGAAGAACACAGCATGGCATAACAAGCGCAATCGCACATCACATGTATGCTCAGTTCATCGTGTACCTCGTACTGCGAGGACAGTTCAGCCTTCTTTGAGGTGACTCCACAGGAACCGCTCTACTTTCTGCTTGACATATCTTGACGTAGTGGGTAGGGGCCGGCAGATCCCGGCGGGGCTCTGCGGCATATTTTTCGCTTTGCACACATTCGTCCACGCCAGCTCAAGTTTGCAGCCGAGGTCCATCCAGCATCGTCTGAAGTATGCGAAAAACCCGTCGGCAGTCGTGATGATCGCCATCAGAGGCGTTGCGGCCAAAGTCGGCCGAAGATACTACGGCAGCCGTGAAACGGCAGAGGGTGGAGAATCTCATGAAGGTGCTGGCGAACTCAAGATGCGCTCGCCCCAATGTCTCGGTTCTGTGCGTATGGGCTGAGCTGCACCGAGCTTGGCCCGCAAGGATCGGTGGCTCGCCGGAAGATGAGACTGAGACCGCAGTGCGCTCCTCATTTCCCCAGGTCCATGCCATGCTTGGGACCTGATGGCAACTCAGGCTCAAACAGATCCTTATCTTGCCGGAGTAAATGACGAAGAAGATGAGGAGGACGAAGAAGAAGAGGAGCAGGTCGTAGATGAGGAGGTAGGGTTGCGAGCTTGCGGGGCCGTGCGTCGTCTGGAAGAGCAAGAAGATTGTGTTGTCTGATGGGGGCAGGTGGAGCCTGCGTCACGCCAAGGTTGGGAACCCCGCAGGGCTTCTCTCACCTCTCAATTTCTTGCGTCCGCGTTTGACAGGTGCCTCGGAGCCTCCGCTCAAGAAGCCAAGGGCGGATGTCGCCGAGGATCGCTTGACCGTTGAGGCAGGCCTCTATTTCTTGGTTTGTGCCGCTGGTTGATAACTGTATCCGCTGTGTGATCAGGTTTGGCCGAAAGCATCGCCGGATGAGGAGCATGTAACTGCGGGTGACTTGTCCGTGTGGTCGGGACCCAAAGCAGGATCCGGAACCTGACGACGCTGAGTTGTTCTTTGTGGACACGGGCATACAGCAATGAGCCCCCATCAGCGCCTGAGAGAGGAGACCAGCCATAAGAGCTTGAGGCAAGACACTACAGGCCTCTTGGCCTCAGAGTGCGCTCCGATTCGGATCTCCTCAGAGACCAAGCGACTTTCGCAGTTCAAAGTAACTGGTGAGCTTCCATCGTCGGGAGTGAATGCAAGAGAGACTGTTGTAGATGCTACATAGCTGCTACCAGGATCACGACCAAGCTCTACATATTCACGTCTATGCTCGCGTGTGTCAGCTATGTTGTATCTTCATGATGCCAGGCATTTTGGTTCAAGACCTTTTCAGAGTGGCACATTAAGTGCCACAAGAATGCAAGTGCAAAGGCATCGCTTGCCGCACTCTTCGCGAGTTGAGCTCAAGCAGCTCCCGAAGTCTTTTCAGACATGGATGGCCTTGATCTCAGTTACTCAGTCTGCTTGGATGCATCCTCGGCCGGAGGTTCTGCAAACTGACACAGTAGCCGACAGCCGCCCTTTTCATCGTTTTGTTTCAGATTGTGGGCCGTGCCGGTAATGTGAAAGCCGTAAAGGGTGGGATGGTTATACACCTCATCCTCCGAGGGATTGCCTGTGATTAGTGGAAGTAACTGTGCTGTCCGATATGCCTATCACTTCGCGGCCTACCAGATTCAGTTCCTCTGTGCTGTTTCACAGTGTAGTCATGTGCTCAATGACTAAGGTATCCTGGCCTCAGCATTTCACCCCAGACGTCGTGCATCTGCCTTGCAGCTATGTCGCAAGTTGTTGATGCTGATATGACTGATATGTGCTGATTCATGCTTGGCTCGTGGTGTCTTTGCTGAGGTGATGTAATTCAGCAGAAGCGGTGCCTGAAGGCCATGCCCCTGGTGATCTCCTGCCAGCAGATCTCGGGCCCCAGGGCTCCAGTCTTTACACTCTGGGAGGCACATCCCTTGCCAGGAAGGCCCATCTCTTCGCCACAGGCCGCGCATTCGAAGGAGTTCAAGTCTCAAAGTGCAATGTGGCTCAGCGTCTGGTTGCGAGTGCAGGTGATACTGTGGCATTGCAAGCATCCGCATGGCCTGTTCTCGATGTTCTCCTTGGCGCTTGGACACATGGAGACGTGTGAGAAGATGGGCGCTGCCCTGCTGGTGGATTGGTCGCTTGCTTCGAAACAGGACAAGACATCACTTGCAAGCCGCTGGCCGTAGCCGCCGTAGCTGAGCAGCTCAGGTCTTCGGAAGAGTTGCTGTACCGAGGCCCTCCTGGAGAGCCCAACGTACTTGCCCTACAGACAGACGCAAGAGTTCCACATGCCTTCCCTGATAGACTCCAGCTCATGAAGCAAGACCGTCCTGGGAAATCCTCCTGGAGCATGTGAACTCTTGCTAGTTGGCAAGTTCTCCAGTGCTAGATCTTGCAGAGCTCCGGTGCAGTCGCAGTCGACTCTTTCTGTTGCTGGATGTGGGGGGTTCGGCCGGCTTTTGGTCCCTCAGACAGCCCAAGCCAGGCCGAAAGCCGACTTGGGATATCTTTAAAGCGAAAACCAATGAAGACACGAGTGAGCACACACCACTAGGCAATGACCGAAGCAACTGCACAGAAACCGCCAAGTACGAGTGTTGCCCATGGTGTAATCCTGTGTTTTTGGTAATTGTTTTTCGTGGCAACTCTCAGTTCGGTCCGTCTTCCCAAGCTACATCGAACCCACTGTCTCAGGTGCAACAAAAGCAGTCCTGTTTCAGCCAAGCGTGCATCCAAGCCATGCTTTGCCGAACCAAGAAGCATCGCACAGACAAGGATCGCAAGAAACTGTTCCTGTGATTCGGGCCTGACGGCTCCCTGACCTGAGTGTGAAGCGCACCCCTTTCTTTCCTGAGGGAGCGTTGGACGCAGCTCCTGTGCGATAGCTATGCAGGTGGTACCCCTTCATCCCCTTCTAGTGGCCCTCGTGGTACCGTGGTAACCTTATTGTAACCCCATAACCTTTGTCTCATCTCTGCGGTTAGAGAGCAGAAGCGGTAGTCAGAGCGCAGTCTCAGACCCTGAGCTCTTCAACCGACTTTCTTCCCGCATCCATTCAGCGGTGACAGTCTTTGGAGCGGTGCGGAATTTTCTTGTAAAGTTCCAGAAGGCCCGATTCACATATGATCCTGTCAATGCGATGCATACTGTTCTATGTTCTGTCGTGTTTCAACTTAGGTTGTCACCTAAGTTCATGCAAGTTGTACCATGTATGAATATTTAGGACTCATAGTTGCCAAGTTGGTTGCAGCCTGAGGTTTGGAACGCCTTCTTCTGCCAACCTGCAGAATTGAAGATGCGCCAAGAGGCAAGCAGTTGAGAGAAGGTTTCTTCGCGGTTTCTGCGAGCATGGGAGGCACTCCGTGCTGCCGTTGACAATGGACGGTGCCTCTGCGATGACCTCCAGAACATGCGCCTCAGTTCAAGCTTCTTCACCGACCAGGTACACAGAAACGAGCAGCCACAAAGTGGTCTACGGAAACTACCGGGGAGTTATCCAGGACGGAGTGATCGCCCCCTGTGCTTCGGGTCAGCTCAGTTTGTCCACAGCCCACGATGCCAGCTTGATTTGTGTGTTTCGCGGCCTGCAAGCCTGACCCCTTTATTCGGAGACATCATGCAAGAGAGCATCAGTTACGGTTTCAGCTCTCGAGCGAACTGTTTCCGCTGTCGCATGCTGCAGGGCTACGGAAGCATTCCAGCCCACCAAGCAGCAAAAGGGCGTGCTTTGTGCAAGCGAAATATCGCATTGCGTCCAAAGTCGCTTGGTTTGCAAGCAGCATCGCGGATTCCATGGCGGTCTGCCTTTGGATGGGCCACAGTGTGCCACAGCCATCGCATTGCGCCCTGAGGTTTCAGCAAAAGTTGCAGACTGTTATAGACTCGCTGCCGTTTGGCCGTCGTTTGGCTGCCGGCTCCCCGTGGCTCCAAGAATCTCTGCATCGCTCAACGAATCACATCAGGTCCACATACGCCGCAGCGACAAGGGCTGTGAGGCCAAAGCCAACTTCGAGCTTTCGGACGACCGTCTCCTGCAGCGCATCCTTCAACAGCCGCCTTCCCAGCCCTCGCATCCTCGCTTTGTGCCTGAGTCTCCGCTTTCTGTTGCAGGTGCCAGGCTTGGGGAATGAACGGCGTCTTTCTGTGCACTGACGATGCATCTTTGAAGCAGCGCCTGACGAACGCCCTAGAGCGGACAGGTCAGGATCCGGGCCGTTTGTTGCGGTGTCTTCGCGGACCCGTGTTCAGAGTCTGCTTCCGCAGGCTTGTCCGTCTCAACGTACGACTCAACTTTGCCCACGGATGGAACCAAGGCCACAGGACACTCATGAGTTGCAAGAGACGTCCCAAGACTTAGTCGAGAATTCAGCATGACAAGCCGTCCATTCTTGAGAGGTCAATACTACTTAGTCACTACTGGTGGTGGTGCATTCGTTTCTTTGCATGAATGTGTTGATCAAAGAAGTATCAGCCTCTGCTTGCGGAAACTGTGTCTCTAACAGACGCCGGAAAATACTGTGTGAAACCACAGCTTGCAACTGGCCCCTAGGCCAGTGTCTCTGCAGTCGCTTGCCTTTCTCGAGGTGATCGTGGCTGCGAGCTACGAGTCTGTCAACCGAGAAATGTAAGGATCCCTGCTGTACAGAGGAACACCGAAGTCGAAACGATCCATGCACAGCGTCCAATCACTGGGCCTCGTGAAGCCACTCGCCGCACCAATAATCACCGTGCACTGTGGGACATTGGAAAATTGAACCACGTAGATAGTACGACCACTGCGAGTACTAACTTGAGGATGGTTGCAAAGTCTGGCGCCCAGATTGTGGCTCAAAGCAGGATCAGGTGGCTTGCGCCTTCGAGCCGAACTCGGAACACAAACCGTCTTAGTGATGCTTCATGACTTCAAGCTCTGCGTCGAGGACTCTTAGCCTTCTGCAAAGCAGGCTTTCCAGAAATGGCAACGCGAAGATGCATGCCTTGATTTCCTTAGACCCTAAACTCTAAACCCTAAACCCTAAAACTCTAAACCCAAAACCCCTAAACCCTTAGACATTGTCAGTCCAGAGAGGCCAAAGTTTGATTGAAGCTTCCGTCGGCCTCTCTGGATGTGGGGCAAGAACGCAGCAACCACCCAATGGCCAACACATGCGATAGTATTGTATCCAGGAATCCAAGAGCTACAGACCATCGGCGCCTGGGCAACTAGGCAAAGCTTGCAGAGAAAGCCGGTTGCGACTGAAAATCGCAACAGCAAGGCAGACATGGCGAACCCAGAGAGTTGACCAAGAGGGCGATTGAGATCTTTAGAAGTTGGGTGTTCTGCAGAGGCCCAACCATAACCAACAGACTTCTTTGGCAAGCTTTCTGGCCCAGTGTGCACGTAATTTCAGGGCACATGGCATGGCCTCACTTCTTCTGTGCTATGTGCAATCGAAACTGAGTTGGAGGCAGTCCACTTCGACAAGACAGTGGATGCTTACAAGAAAGCAGAGGTCCGCTGTATGCTTCACCCAAGCGGTCCAGTGCTTGGCGCACCAGGACGTGGTGATGGAGGCACTTTTAATGGCGAAAGGCTGTCACGGCTTGCTGTCAACGCACTCGGCCCAGCGATGCTGGCAAGAGGGCCTCGCGACATTAACTGCCTGTCATCGAGGTACTCCAACGTGTCGGCTGCCGTCGTTTACCTCAGCCACGACAAATACCCGCGCCCTGCAGAAAGCCAGAGAATCGAGTCTTTGTAGCAGGGGCTAAGGAGCACCACAAGGAAGAGATTTGACAAGACTGGGAGATTCGGAATGCTCGAATGCCCCAACAACAGTGAACAGCAGATAGACCTCGCCACTACCGAAGCAACGTGGCCTGCCTCCCGCTTCTTCAAAAAGAGGCAAATTAGGAACCGGTACGGTGCGAGAGATGCGAGAGGTACACCACATTTTGGGATCCACTCGAGGCTTCATGATCGGCAAGAGCACAGGCCATTGACCACCAAGCGCACTCGGCGCACGCTGCTTGCGGGTTCGTTGCACCTGTGCACATGCAGGACAGGAGTGGTGTCGAGAGACCCAAACTTGAGCTTTTGTGCCAAGATGTGACTAGACGGATGAGGCGTTCGTGTTCTACTTGGGCCTTGCAATGCAAGGTCTTGTTGCAGGCTATGACTTGTCCAGGACGGCAATGTGCATAAGATGTGTGGCACGAATCCTCATCTCAAAGTAGCCTTCCGAGTGCAGATAACGCTTGTTTCTGTACAGTCTGTGCCGTTTCGGCTGTGTTGCCTCGCATGGGCATGAAGGCACGCTGACACGTCGAGTCGATTGGAGATAAGATGGCAGGTTTCATATCCAAACTCATGGCACGCTAGAATGCACTACAGAAGAAGCTTATGCTGTGCATATCTTCAAGATATGAAGAGAATCACTCGTCGTTTGCCTCAGAATTTTCCAATGGCCGACTTCAGTCAGTAAAGTCGACCCAGGCATGATGTAAACTTCATGAAGCTAGAAAACGGGTTCTTTGCGATTGTGGTTTGCTATCCCAGATGGCCTGCTACTTTTCGAGGTTGGGCGGCTAGACTTCGTGTCACCCGCCAGCTGATGCCAATTCGAAGTGGGTATTGCATACCGCGTGTTCCAGCCCATGCTTGCAACAAGTATTTATTGTCGCACACTGCCCAGATCAACAACAGCACGTGCTCTCAATGCGAGTCGTGCTTGATCCGGATGCCTTCGGCGAGCCCGGCAGGCATGAGAGGCTTCACAGAAGATACGTGCAACTTTCATGCCCGTGCTGACAGATGGTTCGCACTTCTGAGAGAAGGTACTAGGACGTGTCTCGCAGCAGCGCATGTATCGAAGAAACCTTTTCATGCTCCGTCCAGCTACTTAGGATGATCCTATGTGGCTGACAAAGACTTACACTTGCAAAGACATTCCGTCAGCTTGGCACCAAAATCGCTGATCTTTTACATGGGTTGTTGCAGGTTTCCCAGCGATTGCGTCCTCGACCGTGCATGATGCCTCGCTCGACGAAGCCCAGGGCTTCGCGAGCTACAATCCCCTACAGCTTCTTATGACGGCTCCCAGAAACCAACATGTCACAGAGTGAGATCGGTCAGTCCAGCCAGTTTGGAACTGCGGTGGAGTACCGGGGGTGAGCTTCAATGACGGCCGCTGATATTGCCTGATGAGAAGCATAGCCCAAAACTGGCACTGGAAAACTGGACGATACTTCTGTGGAGCTTGGAAGACCCGAACTGAAGATGTATGTAGTATATGTTCACCCATTGTAGCTGGCATTGTCTCGACACCACGTTCAAAGTGGAAGTTGATGTCTAAGTCTTTCGATGTCGCAATTGGTTGTTGCCATGGCGGCTGCGCTGTTTCGTCAGTGGCAGCTGTTGAGCCGCAAGGCGGTTGGGTGACATGCCATGAGGCAGTTGCGAAGGGATACACCGAGCAGCTTTTGCAATCTGGCCAGTCTATCCTTGTGTTGGGGCAAGTCTGTGATCTTGCCAGGGTACGCAGTTAATCCATTCAATGTGGATTCTACCGCTCCGCGTTGATGCCGTCAACCGAAGTATGAGCGGCGGTTTGCTACTGTAAAAAGAGTGTGCAGAACCTGGTTTTTCTGCTGTAAACCAGTCGCACTAGCTCACTCGCAGTGATGCCTTCAAACTGCAGGTGCTGTACTCAGACTTTGTCTACTACACCGGCCATCATGATTGATTCTGATCGCGCGATTTCTCCGTCGAAGGCCAGCCGGGAAGTTTGCGAGGCAATCCGAAGCTGTACAAGATTAGCAGAGATACCGTTTGCTGATGCTTGCGCGTACTTCTCGGTCCGAGCTGTCGAGCTTGTCCAGGCTCCCCGGCATTTTGAGTTGGCAAGGACAGGCATGCACTCTGCAGGACCTTGCTATTGTCGCAAAGACTAGGCTACAGACCGTTTGAAGGGGTATGTGCCAAAGATTCAGACCTTACTGCAGAGCCTTGACCGCACGGGCACGGATGGAGAAGGCCAACTCGATACTTCGATGCATCGCTCGCCTTGCAGGAGCTGCCAGTCGCCTCTGTGGATGGGTCGAAGAGAAGCTGGCACTGCCTCCAAAGCCGTCCTCCACCTGGAAGCTCTGCATGGCCAGAACTGCTTTTGGGTAGCTTCGCACATTCCCGTAAATACAGCATGCAGCTAGCATGCAAGGAAATGCAACAGCCCACTAGAGCTCGTCGTTTGCCGGAGTGTCTAGCGACTTTGGACCTAGCGAGTGTCATCTCGTGCAAGATTCGGGAACGCAGGTCAGCTTGACTGTCTTCGATCCCAGCAGGTTTCAGGGTCTCAGTACGAAGAAACTCCCTGTTGCTTAGCAGCTGTCATGACAAGGCCAGCTGTGGGGCTGCCTAACAAAGTGCCGCGGTAGGGGCTGAAGCATCATGTTTTTGATCTTCTGCACCAGATCTTTGCGGATTTGACCCAAAACTTGCTCCGTGAATTACTCCGATCTGAACAAGTTCTGATCGTATCACAGCAAGCGGCGGTCAAGTCTACGTGAGGCGTTGCAAGAGTTCAGGTGACCCACGCCGTGCGCCTTTTTGTGTGCGCACCAGGTCCACTCGGAGCCAATTGGTTGCAAGATGCTGGATCGTTTCGAGTCGCCCAGCCCGCAAACGCTCGGGGCATGCTAAGCGAGTTTGTTAGCTGCAAGGCCTCCAATAGTTCCCTTTCGTCGTTCAGTCGTAAGAGTCCATGCGCAAAGCATACATCCAGTCTGCAGCCAGCAAATCGTCTGGCAACCTCAACGTGGCTTTGCTGCCAGTGTATAGAGGGCTCCCGTTTTTGTTTAATTGCGTTCTCGCTTGAGCCAATCTACCACGATCAAGCCCGCTCTTGCCCCATGAAATGAAATTCCACCGGTTCTAAACGCTGGGAGGTCGCCACGGTCTTCACAGCATTCAGATATCCAGACTTCGCAACAGCGTTCCGACTGCTTGCTGGATATTGGCCGCAGCTGAGTACTCAACTGCACCTGCGGTCACATGCGGTGCTCTTCCGCCAGGCTGAATATATCCCGGCTCCTGCAACCGATGAGAGTGGGTAGCCGAATTCTGGCTTTCACTATCGTATGAAAGCATGCTTGTGCCGCGATCTGCGAGTGTCAAGGCCAAGTTGGTCTCTGTCACCTGCAGTCGGTCATTGCCGCGCAGAAATCACCCGAGGCAGCACATGCTTCCCACTTGGCATGAGTTTGCTGCGAAATCCTGGTGCATGGCGCAGCAGCTGTCAAGTTACACTGGCTAAGGCTTTCCAGTGCTTCTGAAAGCCCCTTGCACACTAACGGTGGCAAATCCCATGATGGCTTGCTGATCCACAGTTGTTGTACTTTTGAATGCCTCTGCCCATGAGGAACGTGGTGAAGCAAAGTAACCTGTTCGCATGTTTTTATCGAAAGTTTATGACCATCTAAAAAACTCAGGGTGGATGAAAATTGGGGTCTGAATTCGTTATTGAACATCGCGAGCTCGGGCTCGCAGCTCCATCTGCAGTCCGGCGGTTTGCATGCGCAGTCCACAGCGTGTGCCTGGCGGCTTTCGCCGGTCCAAGACGACGAGCTTGCATACAGTAAGTCGAGTTGCATCTGAGACTCTGTTCTGGCGCTCGCACAGGTAAGGCCCACATTCCAACCGATAGGAACATTCAAACCGATAGGAAGCCTCCGGTCTCTAAATTCCCCATGCCCTCCTGTCATCCTAATGCGCCCGTACACCGCATGCCACGATGTCCCAAAGAAGGCCCACGCAAGAGTTTGTCGGAACTTCCGCTTGTGATTCCCGTTTGCGCTGCGTTTGGGCCTTGTGACCTTGCACTTGCCCAGGTCTTTCCGCGAGATCGAGTCGTTTTTCGGAGTGTTTGCCGCCTTTGCAAAGGCCCGCTGCTCCTTGCTGGGACGTGATGGCCCTGCGAGGCCACGCTCCGCCTTTTTGGCTTGGTGATTGAATCGTGATCTCGTCACGCTGTGCCCGGGCCCACCTGTTGACAGCGAGTCTGGCCTAGCAGCACAGCTTGTGGTGCTTCTTTCTTTTGGGGTCCTTCTCTTCCGGGCTTCGCGCTTCCTTTCAAGGCAAGCTTGCTCAGTTTGGCTTCTCACAAGCCTTCCATGGACCGTCAATTTCGAGACACGACTGTTTTAGTACATGCCACCAGGCCTATCGCTTTGGAGGCTTCGTGGTGCCCGCTAGCTAGCGGAGGGACATTTCTAGCCCTGTGCCGGCCGACCAGCCCTCTGCCTCTCGATGCGTCGTGACTCAGGCCGACTAGCGGGGGCATGCCGGGCCCCATTCTTTCATGCCAGCCATGGCATGCATGCATGCCGTGCCCTCGCTAGCAGGGCCGCCCCGCGGCTACCACCTCCTTGTCGTACCCGGTAGCCTCTGCTGCGACTTCGAATTGAGCGCGAACCACTGCTGCCGCCCTGGCCACACATCTTTTCGGGCGTTTCGGCTTTGAAGTTACAGATCTACTTCGAATAATCCAAGACACCAACTGAAGCCGAGCTCGCGGAGTGCTACTGCAGGTGTATTTCACTTTGCGAGCTTTGGGCTGTGCCCCGGATTCCGGGTGAGAAGCGCTCAGGGCGACGAGCTCTACCAATAGGGGTCAGCGAAGGCATCGCCGGTTGCGCCGATCTCTTCATCAGATTGCCAGAGCAGGACACCTCAGACTGTCCGCGATGCCTGCGCTGTCTTCTCCACCTGCTACTTGCTTGGCCTTACTTCCACTCTTGTCACTGCCGAGTGGTCCAGCCCGTAGGACCGTAGGACCAACTAGCTCTCAAGTGCTTCGGGCAGGATGTCAGGTTGTCAGAATTTGAGAGCATTTCTCAGGGATTTCCTTCCTGCTCGCTATGCCTTCTGAAGCAGAGCCGTGCTGAGCCCGCTTCAGTGAGAGCAGGCGCCGGGACCCCTCGCGGTCAGGTCGAGGCCGATGCCAGGCTGCTGGAGACGACGCACGCCCAGGTGCTGCCTTCGCCCCTGCTGCCCGTGCTGCCGCCGCCTGTGCCCGTGCCCTCCCCGCATTATGGGGCCCTGTCGCTGCCGAGCGCCTTTAAGCATTTTCTCTGTGTCTCCTGTCGTTCTCAAATGCAAAGGCAAAGGGAAAAGGGAGGGCCCGAGAACAGCGGCAAGGCCTTTTCCACCCGCACAGCTTGCGCATGCTGCTGGCATGCACCGTGCACGGACTGCCCTTTGTTGCGAAGTCACGGGTCCTGCATTCCGCCCAGACGGGCGGTGCGGCTTGCACTGGCGAAGGGGCTGTCGGAAGACTTGTCGGTTGAGTCACAGTAACATCCTGCATTGCGCTTCTTGCGTTTCTTGCCTGCTGGCAGCGCTTGCGCTTCGGGTGATCGCGGCCTTGCGCGAGCGAAAGCCGAAGCTTGGCCTTGGCCTGTCGGCATCAGGCCGAGCACACGTTGCTTCTGGTATCTGCGTGGTTCGTGAGCTTCCCACTCGGCTTGCCACGCATGCTTGTGCTTGAGCCTGTCCCACATCTCTACCAGCGCACACATAAAGTTCGCTGGGCTGCAAAGATTCAGGATTGGTAGCGCAGCATCACATGATGCTGCATAACGACGGTTTGTCAAAGGCTTCGCCTCAGCCAGCAATGGCGGCGTTCTACCCTTCTAATTATACATGCATCATGCGTACACCAGGTCATGCCGTGCCGCATGATTGCTTTCCGTTGCTCTTGATGTTTAGATCCCACAATGCATGTGCCACATGCAATGCACCCAGCCCTATTTTCAAGTAGAATGTCACCTCGCGAGCATCAATGCTGAGCCGTTCGACGTGCAGCCGTGCTTGCACGTGTCGCGACCCATCGAGATTGTACGCAATTTGAAAAGGCCGGCTTGTGGAGACAGTTGAGTCAGCACTCTTGCTCTCGCGGTTGTTTTGCTGTTGCACGTCCTGTGCAGGACCGAAAGGACTTCCGATGTCTTGCACGAATGGAGAGTGGAGAGTCCTAGCAACAACTGTCTGAGAACGCCCCCGCAGCCGGCTGCAGTTTTCGGCTCACAGCGCATTTCAACTGGCTATGGGATTGTTGCAAGCAAGTGTTTGAATTGATTTCAAGGCCAGCAGTTGCCGAGTGGACTGTTGGGGCAGTTGCTGATCTGACAGAGGACACGAGCAACTGTCGTACGATGTCGTCAACGACAGAGACGTTTCAGCAAGCTGCTTTATCCAGCACTCTTTCGCATCATGGTTCCCATCCGAGCAGGGTGCGGCATTGCACCGGATTTCACAGCAGAGGAGCGATATGTTCGGCATCAACGAGGTCTTTTTGCCCCTCGACCTATCACTGTGATTTGATTGAGTTTCACCGTTTCGCCCTTTTCGTTTGATTTGTGGAGTATCGAGGCAAAGAACAGCCCCTCCTTGTCAGGTTGCGATGTTGCCCAGAACATTGACGGCAAGTAGCGCCGTCTCTGCAGCTTTGCCGTGTTGAGAGTCGACGATTGCCTATGGTTCGACATCAGTTCGTTGCTCATCCCCGTGAACAGCCATTTAAAATTTAGGGTTTGCTTGTGACGACCGTTTTCTAGGCTTGGCCGTTGGCCCACTCCTGTAAGCTTGCGTTAAAACCTGTCAAAGTAGAAAGACGCGAGGCAGCAGCATCGGAGTCTCGGGAGTATGTGCAGAGCAGAGGTGAGTGGCGCCCAGCCATTGGTCCACGGCAAAGCGCTGTTGCCAGCACCTGCTCCACAGGCGTGCCACCCAAGATGAGAAAACTCGCGGACGCATTCTCGTACCAGGTTTTGCAAGTGAGGGCATGTGTCCTATGTAAGGCGGTCCTTCATCCCCAACAGCCAGCTCAATTGCAGGTGGGGTGCACGTGCTGCTGGATGTCATGTCACGTGTCCGCATGTGCAGGTGGCATACGGCATGGCGCTGTTGGTAGTACTGAGATTAAGTCTCTATGAACAGAACACCTGCATACACCAGTAAGAAAAAGTGCTCTGTTCCATTCGAAACTAGTTCGTGGGCCGTAGGAACTGGTGCGTCCAGTGTACGTCCCAGTGTCGTTATTCACATCATCAAGCTTTTGTGACTTTTATGGTACTCTCAGCTCAATAGTGGACATGGCTTGCTCAGTAGGCAATGAACTGCAGACCACTTGAGTTTTGTTTTACAGCGATCGGTATTTTCGGATGGAGAGTGCCAATCCAGGACGTGCAGCGGGACTTGCACAGTGTCGTGCGCAGCTTGCAGAGACAGGCATGTCCGGCAGCATGGCTGTTGCTTGTGGGGGCTTTCGTCTCATGGAGCAAGTGTGTACAAGACATGATTGTGCGAAGAACATGCTGTCACCTGCTGCCACTTTAGCACATGCCTTTGCCGCCCTTCGGCCGGAACATGCCGCGAGTGCTTGCCAGGTCGATGAGCTTCAGGCTCACAGCTGCAGAGCTTCAAGTGACAATGCACAGCTGTAAGTCAGCGGACGTCGTAGGCTCAACCCCAACCAACCGACCGCCCATCAATGCATTGCTTGAACGACACGCTTGTGCGCACCTGCAGTCTTCATGCTTCAGAGCTGCCTGAGCGTTCGTTCTGCGAAGAGGAAATGAGAGACTTGTGTGCTGGAGGACATGGTGCGCTCTCTGCAGCAACCTGCCAGCGAGGCTGCAGAACGGTGGTGGATTATGTGGATTCAAAAATAGCCTTTCAAGGGGCAGAATATGAGAGAGCGAGAGGGACAGCCTTGATGTATCTAAGCCGTGAAACATCTCATGTGCTAAAGACCCCACAGCCTCCGTCCAGTCCCAAGTGTAAGAGGCTTGCTTTGGTCAGTGGTTTTGAGGGTTTTTCTCGTCAAAATTGTCATACATAAGCCTACATTTCATGGCGACTTTCATGGCGCCAAACGTCGGACACCATGTAGTGCGCGGGAGGGTGGGGAGGACAGCCACCTGCTTAAGCCTGAAGCACGCAAGAGGATCGAGAGATCAAGATCCGACTGCAGAGCTGCCTCAAAAATCAATTGAAAGTCGTCAGCCTGGCAGCACCAGCAAAAAGGCTTGGGATTGCAGTTGCAGATAGGAGCAGATGACACACGTTTCCGGACATTTCAGGGAACCCTTGAACCGAGAGACTCGTGGGAATCAACAGAAGCTTCTTGCCGTTCAGATTAAATCGCAGCCTTGTCGTCTTCAGGCGTATAGGTCTTGAGACTGAAGCCAAGCTCCATAGGATCATAGGCCCACATGCCCGAGACAACCACAGGCAATCGACAGATCGAGCTCTCAGGCCCGAGAGGCATCCGATCACATGGAAGCAGCTCGTTGGCCTTTCCGCAGCTTTCGTTGCCTTGCGAAGCGTGCAAGTGGCACAGTTGGAACATGATGGGCCCGTCGGTGCAGGCATCACCCTCAGCGAATTCACTCATGGTGGCTCGCACGCCTTCCGAAGAAGTCCGCCTGCCATGTTTCGCCTCGTGAACCGAAAGCCTGTTTACAACCTGCGTCGCCAAGGCACTCCTGCAAATGTACCGCCAGCGGCGGTCGGAGGAAAGCCCAGAGGCCCGCCTGCGTGCACCCTGTGCTGGGGCACGAATTCACAAGGGACAACGACTCCCAGAAAGCCAAGCGGAAGGGTGCAAGACCGAAAGAAACGCAGCCCGTCCCGGGCGCTTTCTCCGCAGCTTGGCTCGAGCCTCGAGCCGCTCGAGGAGCCCTGTTCCGGCGGAGGGGTCGGGACCTTGGCCTTGTGAAGCGGACCGGCCTTGGGTGTAGGCCCTCCCCTAACTGTATAGTATATACATATATATATATA